TATTGGTAGCAATTAGCGCGAGTAAATGATGAACATTAATATTCACACGATTTCCAGCAGAGCACGTCGTCGAGGAGTCCAAAACATGCGGAAAGATCCTCACGGTGCTGTCATGGATCATCGTCGTCCTTACGATGCCCTTCTCGCTTCTCGTCTGCTTCAAGGTAAGAAACATAAAAAATAACATCAATTCAATTCGTACTTCGAAATACATAAAACGAAGGAACATGCACATATTTGTGATTTTATAGTCATGTATTAAACATTGCAAGGATAAATTGTAAAATCTTAACAAACACAAATCATACATTCATTTAAATATTTATACAGAAAGAATTAAAAAAATGATAATTATTACACATTTTATACTGATACTCGCGGCATTTCGTAACATCGTTACTCGCGTGGCGTCTGATAAACTCCATAAAATGTAGCTTTTATATAAATATATAATTGATTATAATCAGAGATAAATAAAATATATTAGCTTTGTTCCAAAACACGTTTATTTTATACAAATGTAAAAGAAATATCTTCATTATTTTGTACCAGGTTGAAAATTATTGGTGGTTTGTTCCCACTGACATCAAAACAGACGCCGCGCGACTGAATCAATTATATAACAAAGTAATTTTCAATTGAAATTAATATTTTTTAAACTTGTATAATTTTATCTGATTCTTCGATATTGTATCACAAAATGTCTGTATTTTATTTACTATTAGGAAAAGATATATAAAGTTTTATTCAATTGACTATTACGAAGTTTTGTAACAACAAATTTTAAATGAGTCGTAAACTTGTAATAAAGTCCTTTTTTTATTTAATGGAAGTCGTGTTTGACATTAATGAACAAAGATAAAAAATTAGTTGAATGAATAAAAAAAAGAAAACTGCTTTTATAAAGGAAACAAAATTTTAATAAACTAAAGCCTTGACGGGACAGTGAAGCAATTGAATAAAGCGCGTAATGAGTTTTTGATGACTTTAATAGGAAATAGTTTTCCAGCACGAAGCCGTTTAATTACGTCATAAAATGGATGGGACATGTATAAAACGTTTCTACTCTCCATACAATACATTCAATTCGGCCATAAAATGTAATTTACTTCATTCATTCATTTTTTTTGTCTATGAAAAACTATTAAAACTAATTAATAATTTTCTTTAAGTATTTATATGGAAACTAATTAAGCTACAGTTTAACTGAACGAAAGAAGTTTCTACCGCATTAATGAAATTATTGATAGAAACTAATTAAGCTACTTAGTTTAACTGATTGAACGAAAGAAATTCCTTCTGCATTAATGAAATTATTATAAAAAAGTAAATTGTTAAGAAATTACAAAAAAAATATTAATTTTCCATAAATTGACATAATTTTCTCAAAATTTTTACTATTAATTATTTTCCTCAAGTATACAAATAATGTTTTGTATGTATTCAAATGGAAATTATCATAAATCAATAATGAAATATCAAAAAGCATCAACTTTCTCCATTAATTCAATACATTTTTTTTTATAAATATTTTCGACAACAAACTTTTCCTTAATAGGTTTTTTCCTACTACAGTTTAATTAATTGTTTTTTCTTAACAATTCATATGGATCATATCAATTAATAATTAAATATGAAAGTGAATAAAGTTTTCTCATTATTTTTTTTTTAAGATTTTACATGATAATACTAATAGAACTATTAATTATTTTCTATAACTATTCAAATGGAATCTACATTTAATTAATTGATTGATGTGTTTGAATGAAAAGTTGAGTAAGTCGTTAAAGTATCCTGGCATGTTTTTTTTTTCAAAAGAAAGTCTATTTTTCTTTTTTGTTGGTGTAGAATGTAATGGAGAGAGACGGTTTTTCTTTGACGCTTTTCCATCCGCCTTTTGGGAAACCCGAGACCGTTGAAAAGTGGCATACGCGAAATTCGCCGTGCGGTTGGAAAATCAATCCACTTGCACTTTGCTTCGTTCCATCAAGGATGATAACACAAAAAAGGGAGCGAAGGGAAAAATGAAAACATCACGTAAACGATAAGATACGACCACCTCGGCTCCGGTTTCATACTGCCGCCGCTGCACCATTTCTATATTATAATAATAATAATGTCTTTTTGATACCGTTTTTAGGATAATCTTATTTTATGGTTGAATTTTATTTGATTTTGTAACAATAATTGAATGATTATCTGGTTTATTATTGATACAAGATACAGCAATATTTCGTATAGTGCAATCGGTTCTTTCAATATACCGGACTATTTGAAACCGGACTAAATACATACATGAAAGACACTATTTTTTTTTTAATTTTCATACCGAACTATAGTGAATCCGGACTGTTCGAAGCCCTACTATGCGAAGTATTGATGTAAGTTCGTTTATGATTGTAATAAATAGAAATGTTAAAGAAAATCCTGTAATGTCAGGATGAAATCCCAGGGATTTGTGCGTCTCTCAAAGTGGATTGATCAATGAGCTTATAATCTGAAATTGGGGCTTTACGTACATCAATAATAATAATAATAAATGAGAAGATTTTAAGAAACGATCAATAAAGAAAACTGGAAATACAGAGAAACGAGGAAGTAATTAATTAATTAATCTTATAAACATCAATTTTATTGGTAATCATATCAAGGCAATTCCATTTTCGTCCTTGACACTTTACATATTCAAGGACGAAAAGTTCGAAAATTATTAAATATAATTGATGGATTTATATTAAAAAATTAAATGTAAAAAGTGTTAATAATTTGGAAAATTGTTGTGAAAAGACGCAATTTATTAAATTTTCCATTCAAAATTTTTTAATGTGAAATTCTGTTTTGACTGATGAATAAAATCTCAATAAATTGAATGAAATGAAACTTGCAATAGTTTCGTAAAAATTTCACTTTCTATCATAAGTATTTCGTAACTCATTTTAATAAAGAATTATTAAATTTGTTATGTGAATAGTATTGTGGGTGTTAAAAATTTGAAGAAGTTTCATTGTTTGGAAATGATTTGTTTTCAAACAAAATCTTTGATTTATAATATATATTTTTTTTGGTGAACGTTTCTAAATGATGCATGCATATTAGGAAAGGCGACATTATTTGTGTCTATCATTTACATAGGAATTGAAAATAATAAACAAAACCGGCCGTTGAATATTTATGAACCATTCGAGAGGATTCAATTAATTGATTGAAGAGGTTGAAATATACAGTTTTTTATTAGATTTTATTATGCAGAAGATTTTAGTTAATTTTTCTAATTAAATTTTAATTTGGAAACAAATTATATTATTAGCATTGAAAAATATTTTCTGTTTTTCTTCTATAATTTTGCTTTAAGAAGACTTCAATAGGTGTTTGATTGGAATCGTGAATGGCAGATTGGATTGGCTTTAATTACACACTTCTTTATCCGGCTCGGAGATGATTGCTTCGGCTCGATTGAAGATGTATTTAGCATAAAAAAATCTGTTCTTTGAAGAATATAGAGAGAAGCGATCATGAAGAGCAATTTATTTGCAGGGTAATAATATGGAAGAGTTTTTTTTTTGTATTGGAAAATTCTCCAGCATGTCATTATCATCGCACGCTCCGGGTGATTTTAATATCATAGCAACAATGTTACGAAGGAAAGGTTTTCCCCTCAGATCTTTGCTAGCGAACTGACGCAATTTCTAGTTCTTTTGATGAAAAGTTAATCACCGCACACAGTCAAAAGGAAAAGCAATTTTATCAATTTATTTTGCAAAATAAAACGAAATTGGTAACTTGTACAATAATTCAAATTGAAGGAAATTTTATGAAAGGTATTGAGTTTCAAGTAAAGCAAAGAAAATAATAAATGTATATTTTGAAAGATAGAACTGATTTCTTATACAAGAAAAGTATAAACAAATCTTAAAGATTTGGGAAATGATTTGATTTTAAAATATGCAAAGTTTTATGTGACAAGATTTGTAATTATTATTAAATGAACTGTTGTGTTTATTAAATTATATTTAAAAATCGCAATGGTTTTGGAAGTGATTTGTTTAGAAGAAATGCAAAGTTTTTTTTATCCAAGAAGTTCGTGCATTAATTATTAAAAACAACGATTTTCTATTATTTTTTTAAAATTTTAATACTTAAAATCTTAATGAATTTTCACATACTTTAATAAATATTTCATTTCTTTTGAAATAATTGGCTAAAAACTAGATTAAGTCGGTTTTTTTTTAGAGGAATCTTTTTTTATTTTATTGATTTATTATTACAACTTTTCTTTACTTAGTAAAGTTTACAGAAACGAATGTATATATAATTTGCATTTTATGATTAAGTTTTGAAATTACTGTAAGTTTTAGTATAAGATACTATGTTTTCAGTAATAAATAATTTTAGAGCGCTCGTCTTCCTACTTTATTTTACGATTTCGTTATCATTCCACTAGCTTTATCTTCAAACATAAAAATCGAACGAGTCTTTACATTTTCTGTTTCAAACTCATTCCTGGATTTATTTTTGTCGTATTTATTTTATATACCCAATTTTATTTAATTAACAAAAACAATAAGTTAATTTATGAAGATTTATATGAATTGATCTCATTGCATATTTCATTTTATATATAAAATAATTTAACGAAAAAAATGGGTCGAAGTTTATTAAATCGTACAGAAAACATTCAACTAATAGTAGATATAGTATTAGAATATAAAATAGATTTGAAACATTGTTTTATCATGGTTTTATTTTATTTAGAAGTAAATTGTGTACACAATTAATTTCGCTGAAACTATTCGCTATTGTTTAGAGTTTGAGTAATTTGGAACTAATTGAATTTAGTGCATAATCTAAATATTTAGTTAAAGCATTTATTAGTTATTGATTGACGAAGTTTGAGTAATTAATAACTTGAGTAATTTTGTAGATAATCCGACGAAGTTTGAGTTATGCAATTTAGAGAATAATTGTATTATTTTAATTACGTTTTATAATAACTTGTTTGGCTTTATTTGGTTGATTTGCGGATGATTCAATATTGGAAATTGGTTTAAGAAAGTAAAAGTTGTAGGAGATTTTTTCTCTCTTTTGGTCGTTTGCGTGTGGCCTTTGTATGATGAGGTAGACAGGATTGGGGGTATTGTCGTTGCGTGGGGAAAGGTTACCGCTTCCATCCGATCTCATCCATCGAAGATCATCAGTTGCTACCAGAAAGATGCTGAGGATACTCGCGTTAATTTTTCTCACGGTAGGCTGCGTTTCCGCCTTCGGCTGCGGATCGGACGTGTTCAAGAACGTGACGGCCCTTCTGTACCGTGACCCCAAATCGAATTACACATTGAAAACAGTGACGGATTACAAACGCGACTTCCAGAACGTGCACCGCGTCGACGTCGAGCCGATCAATAAGATCTCCAGGTTATGCAGGAACTCAGTCACCGATCTTCCGAAGTTGCATACGCTGAGTCTCATCTTGAATGGGATCGAGTCCATTGAAGCAGGATCTTTTGGAAATTTACCAGCTCTCAGAGTGTTGAAGCTTAACTTCAATGGTTTAAGTGAAATCAAAGCTGGTACTTTCAATCTGCCTTTAGAAGAGTTGTATTTAAGTTCTAACAAGATTTATAAGATCGAGAGTAAAGCCTTGGATGATATGCCTAGCTTGCGGTTACTGGATTTGAGCTTCAACCATATCCAGTACATAGACAACACCTGGTTCCAGGCGGCGCCGAAGTTGAGTCACGTCGACTTCAGCTTCAATTTGATTAGGGAGATTCCGAAATCCGCGTTCTCCAACTTGGCTAAACTCAATCACAAAGTGGATCTTTCTTTGATGAACAACACAATTTCTACTGTAAATAGAGACGCTTTTCTTGGGTTCAGTGGTTTGGGAAAGCTGTGGCTCGGCGCCAACAAAATCCGCTTCCTGGACGATAACACCTTCTCGAACGTCAAGGGCTTGGACACGTTGCAGTTGGATAACAACCAGATGTTTTGTCTTTCGGACCGCTTCCTGACCAACACTCGCACTTCCGAAGTGCACTTGATCGGAAATCCAATTATCTGCAATTGCTTGGTCAAAGTGGAGGAATGGGGATTGGCGAGCAACACGAAAGTGTTCAACAGCAACAGAAACTTGGACAAGTGCAAGTATAAGGCCAGGTATCCGGAGACGACGACGAAAGCCCCAGAGGGTGTAGCCATCGATTTGTAATTTAACCTCTTTTGTTATTACTCTTACGTGTAAATAAAGTCACTTCCTCTTTTATTCGTATGAGTTTTATTTATTTATTTTTTATTTTGAGAGGTGTTGATGAAAGGTTTATTTGTGTCAGAGGGATTTTTATTTCGTTACGTTCGTTTTGTGTGTTTGTATCGATCGGTTTAGGCGAGGCTGCAATTTACTGGAGCAACAGAAGAAGCTAATGGAACGGAGGTTTTAATTCATAATGGCGAAAATCATCCACGTACCAATTCCGTAAATACACGTTCTCTCTCCTTAACGAGGAAAGCTTCTCCTCAGAATGAAGAGCCTCGAATTACGACGTCGTTTGCTAATGGAATTTCCTGATGGTTTTCTTTCGTCACTAATCCTGAGAATATTCACAGACAACAACAACAAAAAAGAAACACACACACACATAAATTACTTCTATTTTCGTAACTTTGCACGAAATTATTACATGATCCAACACATTTTATTTCTCAATCAATTTATTCATTAATACATAATATCTATTTACATATTTTTCCTTATTATATTTTCATAATTTCTAATTCTTATTCCATTATAATAATAATGGAAAATTGTAGTAAAAATATAACAAATTTTTTCATGTTTTTCTAAATTATAAAACAGTTTTTTTTTAATATTTCTTTATAATAGTTACAAGAAAAAAGTTGGAAATTTAAAAATGTTAATATTTCATTTTCGATGTTAAAGTTAAGACGTTGAATTATGTAAGACGTTTAGATTTTGTATGTATTTAAAGATCTCCTGTTTCCACCTTGCAAGTGTAAAGCATTTCCGTGACTCCTTACAGGATTAGCAAGAATATTTGATGGAATTAAGTTTAAATCTCACTGATCCTTTAATGTGGTTCTCTCTTGAACCTGTCAACACAATTATCCTTTAAATCTGCCGTTTCCCAACTACTCCTGTTGTGAAAATCGCGAAAGAATTAATAAAAAAATAATTTAAAAAAAAAATGGAATTTATATTTTTCATATTTAAACTTAAAATTTATTATTTAATAATAGTTTTGTTTCAATAAATTTGAGATTTGCTTCAACACAATTTTTCGTGAAAAATAATTCAATAATAGTCAATAAATAGTTAGATTTAACTTTAACTTTAATAACGTTGATAGATTATTGTTTCGCTCAGATGTTTTGTACAGGTGTTTAATATATGCACAGGTGTTTCGTGCAGGTGTTTAATGAAAACGCAGGTGTTTCTTATGAAAAAGAGACATAAAGCTTAAAAAACTCAATTAGTTAACCCTACAAATTCTATTTATTTTCAAATCTTAATTCAAATTTGAATTACATTTATTTCATTGAAAAAGTGTGAATCATAAATTATTATTTTTATAAATAATTTGCAAATATTTGGAGGTAATTTTTAGAATTGAAATGAGATAATAACACTTTACTTTTTCATATAAGAAAATATATTGAGATAGATGAAAAAGAGACATAAAGCTTCAAAACTCAATGAATTTCCCCTAGAAATGATATTTTAAAGGATTTTTTTACTTCTTCTTTTATTTGTTATCAAATTTTAATTCAGATTTCAGTTATAATTATCATTGAAAAATTGAAGAATTTTGTGGAAAATTATTATTTGTAGGTAATTTCTAGAATTGAATTGAGATAATAACACTTTTATTTTTGCAGTTTCAAGCAAAATACATGTGTTTTTGATAAATGAAAACGCAGGTGTTTCTTATCTTTGCAGCTTGCAACAAAATACAGTGTTTTTGATAAATGAAAACGCAGGTGTTTCTTATCTTTGCAGCTGCAACCAAAATACACGTGTTTTTGATAAATGAAAACGTCAGGTGTTTCTTATCTTTGCAGATGTAAATATTTCAACTAAAAT